AAAATGTTTCACTTTAGAATTGTTAAAATTAAATAAGAGATAGAAAAAGAAATATTTTCCAATGAGGAAAGAGAAACTTCTGTCCTTATCTTTCTGAAGCAAAAGAATACAATATGTGCGGTTTGATTAATATCATTGATTTATTTTTTCATCTTGTTTAAAAATAATCTTAAAAAGTAACTTTTTTAAAAAAAGAGAGAAAGATAAATTTAATAGATAACTAATTTATTACGATCGTCTAAAAATTGTTTATTTTAAAAATTGGAGACTCTCTCTCTCTCTTTCGTCTCTTCATAATTAACTTTTTATAGAGTTATAATTCGAATTATTTAACTTTCTTATTCACTGCATGTGATGAGTCAATAAAGAAACAAGTCAAATAGTAAGCTGTTTACGTATTCGTTTCCACAGAAGACAATAGAGAATGCAAAGAGACCAATAATGCTCGATTTGCTTCTTTGTCGTCTTAACGTATTTGCAGCGTAGCTGCGAGCTATCATTTTATATTCTGTCTACGTTAGATATCGCCAATGGGCGCATTCGGTTGTTCACAAATATTTGCAGTTGCAATAATAAGCGCGGGTAAATTAGTTTTTAGTGCGATTTATCAGTACGTTATCCATGGTAGTTGTATACCGCACACGAGTCGATTCGCTAAAGTATCTCGAGAAATCGAAGGTTCACGCTGCGAATAAAAAAAAGTGCAATAATAGAAGCGAACAGAGGTATTTACTTTCCTCGTGCTGTGTGTCTAAACTTGTTTATATCGGTTTGTGGATCGTGGACTCTCTGAGAAGAGATCCTAATAAATCAGTGGCCGAATTAAACGAGGGACATTTTCTTTTTAAGAATAAGTGTGTCTGTAGAAATTCTTTCGACACATTAGTTGTACATTTTACAAGTAATCAAGTACTCTAATCAAAGGCATTTTTTGTTAGTCAAATTGTTTTGATAATTTAAGTTTCAATAATAGAAGTAAAAAAAAATTAGAAGTAAAAAAGAAAAAAATATAAAACAATATAAAAAAACAGTTTATTATAATGTAAATTTTTTTACAACAAAATATTTAATATTATTTAAATAATTCTAAAGAATTTAGAATATAGATATAATTCTGAAGAAACAGCATTAAATTGAATTTTAATACAGAAAAAAAGGATTAATTCTGATATATAGGTAAAGAATCATTCATTAAATATACGCTAATTAATTAAATCACAATGCGTGCAGCGATAATTATGTACAGTGTACATTATAATGATCGAATGAAGATTAAGAATAATCGAGTCAAGTTAATTAATTTACTTATAGTTATAATTAGAATTCAATGATTTGCACATATGCTTCGTACACAAATCTGTTGATTATTAACTGCACAATTAATTATTAACACGATGACTGAAATAGCTTATTGAGATAGTATCAACATGAACAATTAACGTGCCTCGATCTGTGGATACAGCGAAGTGAAATTCGTGATTAATCGGTTAGGAGAGTTGCAGTTCTCTCGTCGGATTGCATTAATAAAGACGTTGCACTTAAGAACCATTACAGCCCCGCTTAACCTATATTAGAAACAATAACATGATTATCACGCTTCATTAGAAAAAAATACTTGAAAACAAAGTGATTAATAAAAAGGCAATTTAAAAAAAATTAAATAACACAAGAGCTAATATTGTGAAATTTATTTGTTTATAAATAATTTATAATTTATAATTTTGAAAATGTCGTGGAAAAAAACATTTTCGCGACAATACATAAATAAGTTGATGACATATTAATTATAAACGGAAGTTACATAGAATTATCTATTAACACACACACAATAAGCGAAATTATGATTTTATGTGAGCTGTCAGAACTGCGTCAAGGGTTTCGAGATCGTTCACGTCGACCCAATTGCCATATCGATTTGACACGGAATAACCCCCATGATCACGATCTTCTGTGTGATAACAATAGTCGCTATCTAAAAGTAGTAGTATGAAACCTCGAACAGGAAATGCCTAGATTACATTTTTCGATCCTTTCTTCGCATGAGATAACGTAATTTTTCCTACCTATATTCCCATTCGCGACGTGCAGCATGACGACGTTCAATGATAATATCCATAAAAGTGATCAGTATACCAATAAAACGCCATTGACTAATCAAAGCGAGCTGGCGATGTGGCGTACAACCTATTAAAAGTAATGTTCTCCAACTCGTTTGTGGTAAACGCGTAAACGGCGGGAGCAGATAACCGTAAAATGTCAATAAATTAATAAGCTTCGATCCGCCTTCTCTTTTCCTTTTTAAAGAACAGGCTGGCAAAGAGAAGAGGGAGAGGCGGGGCGGGAAAGTGAGAGAAAAAGAGAGAAGCGAAGCTTTTACGGGGCAAATTGTAACCGCGCGAAGACGACACTCGAAGGCTCGCTCGGTTGAACTTGCAGCCTATTCTCGTAGCAGCCGTTTGCTAATTCATGCGAGGATACTTCGTCGCAACTCTCTTATTCGTTCCACTCAGTAAATTGCTAAGCGAATTATTCGCCCTTCTGATGAAAGCGAGGTGTTGCTCGGCTGCGCGTTCGATTAGCGCTTGGTCGACCTTATCTAAGTTATCCCTTAGGTGCCCTCAGGCGTCCAGGTGTGTCTTTATACCTCTCACACTCCATTTCTCGATCAACCACGAATACACGTGATCCTCCTCCCCCTTATGTTATTCTCTCGCGCCATCACCTCCCCCTCTCTCGCCCGCGGCACCTCTTTTTCTCCCTTAACGAGGCTTTATAACCACGCGCTCGCGAGCCCTTTGCGATTCCGAGCGTTTCTCGGCCCTACTAATATTCACGGGGAATTTAACTCGCGCGTGTTTACGTGGAATAGCCGCTTTGACCAACGAGCACCGTTATTGGATGCCATAGAATCGTTCGCCATTCGCGTAAACGGAAACGCGGCGCATCGTTCCTGTAGTTGAAAAATGAAAGCGGGCGGGAGTGCGAAATAAATCGAGACGCTAAAATGCAAATTAAGCTTTCACAATGCAACGACTACTCCACTTCCGCCCGTTCCCCGCGTCTACGCGCCAGGGTTTTCAGTTTCTTTATATACTTCTTGATGTTCCACTTTAAGTCCTCCATTATGCTCCAAGTAGAATCGACCTCGTTTTATCCTATCGTCCTATTCAACTGATGCGGTTGACGCTTCTCAGTGTAAATAGCACAAACGGCTTCCCTCCCGATACGAGAATTTATTCGCCAAGCGGTGCTTTCTAATAACCAAGATTATTATCGATGGGAAATCGGACAATTAAAAATCGGTGCCTACGTCTTCGTCGCAGATCTAACCGGTCGATCATCCAAAGCATACATTTCGAACGATCGTCCTGACTGCACAAATCTTTCACGGCTTGTCGATCCTGAACGCCATCGAGCCTCAATGTCTTTGTTCTTCTTCTCTTCTCATCCTCTCCTTACTCCTCATGTTTTCAAACTGCAATTAATTAAAATAGAAGATTTCTGTTTCGTTTATCCATTCCAGATACCATCATGGAAGCATCAGGGTTTCACGTTCAATGTACGGGCGACGATTTGGACAGGGGATTGTAACCCCGTGGGATCACAGATATCAAACTTTTTAATCCCACGAGAGAATCCCACGGAGAACCGCTGCCGTGTCAGCAGTTTCGAGAGCGGCTATCGTTCTCGTCACGTATGGACGTGACGTTCCGCCGTGTCGCGTCGCGAGTTTCTCCGTTCCTCTAACACGTTGGACACATTGAATGCGGATTTTCGTGTAAAAGTCCGATTCCGATATGATTTTCGAATCGTCATCTGCGAATCAGAAACTGAACAGAATATATTATGCATTTTTTTTTATTTGTTCAAGCTGATACCTTCGGCTTGATACCAACTTTTGATTCTGCCTAGAAACTTGTAACTTTTGAATTTGCATTTTAACGATAACGTTCTAGGTTGGGGCAAAAATTTCGTTCTATTTATCAAATAAACTCGCAAGCAAATTTTCAACAAAATTTAAGTAAAATTGCTGTCACGGACTTCGTTATCTTTTTTCATCTACAGATATACTTCAATTTTTTTTTCAAAGAACGAAACTTTTTAAATTTATTTGATTCAAACTTTGATGTATTGAAAAGATGAATCTTTTATTAACAAATTAATATTGTGATTAACAAATTAATAATGTGATTATTTTGTAACTGAAAATGTAAATTATTGGTCGTATTACTTTTAAATAAAAAAAGAAAAGATTAATGAATCCTTTCACAGTAATTAATATTTTGTCTTTAGTAGAAAAAAAAGAATTAATCACGTATTAATAAACAAAAACCTTGTTATTCATCTTTACAGAAAGTAAAATAAACTTATATAAATAATTCACTTTTGCATTATTTGTTCTCTTTAAATTTCTCTTTAGAATTCAAGAGGAAAACTATTTAATTATAAATATAAACTTTACACAAAGAAATTTAATAATCATTTTAATATAATTTTGTTTAATAAATGTAGGAATAGTTATCTATAAATGTTATGTATTTATATATTATATCTATATGTAAATTATTATAAAATGTTAAATAAGATATTATAAGATTTTCAACATTTCAGTATTAAGTATCTAATTAAATACAGTAAAAAAGTAATGCAGTACAGTTGTAATAGCAATAAAATTATATTTGTCATCTTAGAATTAACACTTGTACATGATTTTCATGCTTTATTCTTCTTATGTAACACCTTAATAAATAAAATTACTTATTTTACCTTAATTTACTTATATTCCGACCTAATTTTATTCCAACTTAACTCTATCCTTAATCTCTCTTTCTATGTTTTTTTATCTCCCTGCGTGATATAATCATAATAAATTATTTATTATACCATTTGCGAAAGTAATTATTTTTTGAAATTAAAGTAATTAATAATAAAGTAATTAAAGTAATTTTTGCTTAACAAGAAAAAGAATCGAGAATTCTCTTAATTTCATTTCATTGTGGTCAATTTATTTATTCTATTTTAATTATCATGTAGTCTATATGAAAGGTACTAAGGAGTAAACGAAATTTTATTGCTGTATTCGAAACCACCCGGGAAAGCAGATGTTTAAGTTATTCTGTGCTGCATTCCCGCTGCATTCTAAACAAGTAAAAGAAATAAGTTCAGAATCGCAATCTTAAAACCCATACAGAATAACGGATAGTACAGAACGAAATATCTTGCGAGTCTTGTATCAAATATTCCCACCGTATTCGTTTCACACCCACCCTCCGCATTCCGCGGAATTCGGATTCGCCAAAATGTATCCGTGTGCACGGATAAGTTTTTCTCGTTTTTTCATGACAGCCGTAACGTCGACATTACCACGAAACGTTATACGTACGTGGCAATGGAATACACGACGAATCGCCAGCAAAATGAGGCGGAAAGTAAGAACGAACGCAACGAGAGTAACTGGCGGACACCGGGACGCGGTGGTGGGAAGACGGTATAGGGATGGGATAAAGACAAAACGGGGGCACATAGGGCCGATAGGGCGTGGAGGGTGCAGGCAGCTTCGACGCGAGCGGCGCGAGGCACGAGGGTGTTAACTGTCCTTTGAGTCTCGTCGGCTGGAACATCTCACCCGTGCAACAACGTCTCACTCGGTCCATGGGCTCTCTCGGGCTGGATGGCGGCGTGTGTATGGTCGAGCTGCGACGCGGCGAGGCCAGAGCAGCATGGTCGACTGCCTCGTAAAAAGGCATTTTCGCAGCTCCACTTGCGCCCAAAATGGCGGACGCATCGGCTCCCGGGGGACCGTGTAAGCATCGTGTAACGACATACCTGATTACCCCTAGTGACCAGTGAGCCGAGTGTGTTCCTGCCGACTCCTTTCACCCCCCTCGAGAGCATCGGTATGCCTCGGTAAGTCGTTAAGAACGCACCTCGTTGGGCTCCAGCCTCCACATCATCGCTACTGACTGTCCAGTCTTCCATGGCGTATAATCGCCTGTATTATTAGCGACGTGGTGGCCCTTGCGCAAAACGGAACGACCCTAGGCGCGTCTGTAAATACATCATACCGCTCAGATTGAAGTTATATTCTCGATGTTATTAAAAGCGGCGTAAAGCGGCGTAAAGCGGCGTAAAGCGGCGTCTACAATAAGATTTTGAAGGGTAAAACTTAAGTTTCAAGCCGTAAGAAATTTATCAATCATTGGCTTAGTTTCCATCATGCACTTGATACTAACTAGTATAAACTTTCTATTATCTTAATTTCGGTGATATGCGTATAAACATATACATGATATGTGTCAATGAATTTAATCATTTTGATGCATATTGTACCAATTTAGTACATCATTCGTTGAATTACATCGCTGAAATTAAAATAATTTAATAGAAAATTACTAGTTAGTACGTGTATCGAGTGTGCGATGTAAACTAGGCTATAATCGATTGTTCTCCTTACGATTGTGACTGATCAATTTCTTACAACTTAATGCTTAAATCTTAGAAGTTTTACGCCTTAAAATCTCATTGTAGACGCCGCTTAATACGTCGTATGGATGCACAACACGTACGTTGCACATATAGACTGAAGATTTTGCAAAATCGATTTTACTAATGAATTAAAATTTTTTTTTCTATTTGTGTTGTCTGTGATTTGGAAATAGATCACACGAGTTAATTGAAATTAAACAGGAGTTAATTTTACGTTACATCGTATGATTGATTATATTATTCTGTTTAATTATTCTGTATATTTAAAATCATTGAAATTGTCATGTCTATTTAAAAATAATTTTTTTATTTTGCAATTTGTCAGAATCTTTGTCAAATTACACACTAAATACATTTATAATCAAAATGGGACAATACAAAAGTATAGAGGCTTTACACAAGAATAGTTTATAGATTTAAATAATTAAATTTACTTTATCTTTAGTTGTATTCTATCTATTCACTGATTAATATAGATTTTCTATACTATTGATTATAGTTTTATTAATTATAGTTATGTATTATTGTATTCAATAATTGTATTAAGAATATATAAATAAATTGAAATTCCTTTCCAACTTTCTTCGACATAGCATTGAATAAATCTATGGCCAGTATTCATAGTCGATCCTTATTTCAAGACCGTCTTAAGTAATGCCTTACGATGCTAATGTAGCTCTCTGATTGGTTCGTGACTTCTTAAGATCGTACTTAAGACGGCCTTGAATATAAGATCTGACCGATCTTATATTCAGGATGAATACCGGTCTATGTATTTTTTATGTGTGATTTATATAGTGCTCCAAGGATACGAGACATTTTTATTTCTAAAAAATGTTTTTATGTCTTTCTTAAAAACCAATATAATTATATAAAAAACTAAGACAAAACTATCCTATATTTAAAAGTTTATCTTTAAGAGTTTAAATTTTTGTGGTTTATGGTATCTCATAGTTTCCTTTATATATAATATTTAATATAAGTATTATAATTATACAGGGTGTTCAGCGTAACGGTCTGTATGATTTTTCGGATACTTTCGATAAAAAAAGTTGAAAAGTGAATATTTATCTTTTCATACAAGCTACAACATGCAATAAAAAATATTTTAAAAATATTAAAAAAAATTTTTTTTATAAAGAATCAAAGTCATCTTAAATGTTTTAAATGCCACCATACAATTTTTTTCCATAATATTGTAGGGGTCTTCAAGATGAATTCAAATCACTATCAAAATGTCATCTTTATTGATGTACTGATTTTATTACATATTTTATTAAATAAATACGTAATATGTATGTCACTACAATATTATGGAAAAAATTATATGGTGCTATTTAAAAAATTTTTAATGACTTTGATTTTTTATGAAAAAAAAATTTTTTTAAATACTTTTTTATTGTAACCTGTATAAAACAAATAAATATTCACCTTTCAATTTTTTTTTTAAACTGTCGGAAGTGTTCGAAAAGTTGTACGGACCGTTACGCTGAATACTTTGTATATAATTCATATATATGTGTATATATATATATATATATATATATATGTGTGTGCATAAATATATATATTATATATTTATAATATTCTCTAAACTGAGAATTTATTCGCAGTTCATTATCACTGTGTATTGTAGCGTAACTTGAGCTTTTATGTAGCGATAATGCAGACTTGCTTACAATGCTGATCGTGGTATCATTTATAATGTACTTGTATATAATTAATGTAAATGTCGTAATGACACTCACATTGACATTCATACGATATATAGGTAAATATCACGAATTTCGTGCCAATATGCGCTTGCAGGAGCACTTTGATGATGTCATAAATATATGTAGATTTAATATCTCTACATATCTATAACTTCAAAAGCAATATTTGCAGAAGACATTAATATTTACAACGTGCTCAACGCTTTGCATTATGATTTTACATTAAAATGATACTTTGATATTTTTTTCGCAGTAAAATTATAAAAATTAAACAACAAAAGTGCAATCGATACGTATTAACATGAGTAACCAATCCAGAGAAAATCCTCGTCAGTGTCGCATGAGTTATGAGTTGCAACTGTGGTTTCGTCATTGTTACTACTATGTTGTTACTATGTTGATACATCCGAAGCACGCAGAAGACAAATCACAAGTTCAGATGGGCAGCTTGCCGTACAGTTGTGTAGCACAACTGATACCGAAATCGCGAATTCGTGTCGCGAATTTGTGGTCGAAATCATTGCGACACGACAGTACTCGGGCATCGACGCGACACGCCTGCCGCAACTTAATTAATGACGTTCGACATCCGCGAATCGTCGGATAATTCGCCGAGGTGGTTTCCGGCCCTCAGCATTTCGGCCGGTTACGCAGAGATATCATAAGGTCCAGGCATGCGACCCAGCCGGGTATTGTCCTGTTTCGATCCATCTCCTCATTTCCATTACCGGCGACATCGAGACATTCCTGGGAAATGTTTCCCTGCGATTTATCGCCCACCCGTACGCCCGTGGTCAAAGATAATCCCATGCTTGATGCAAACCTTAGGCAAACAACGGTGTAGCTGCATTTCAGGGCTACGGCCCGGTATGTTACCAGGGTAAACTGAATGGCGCTTAAATGTGTCGCAACTGTGTTTGCTTGCGTTTTGAGACTACGGTAAATCTACCGATAGGAAGCATCATCTCGTACAACGTAGGTCCTTTTAACTTCGAAATGGCAGAGATGAGTGCGGCTGATCCAGCGAATTTCTCTTTTTTTTTCTTTTTTCGTCGACTCTGTAGTATTATTTTTCCTGATTTACATAACTGCATCAGATGAAATCTAATGCTAGAGAGTACTTTATATCCACTTGCTTTTAGTTTCTTTTTTTCCCTCTCTTTTTCCCTTTAGCCTTTATTTTTTGTAGTGAGTAAACAAAAAATGGAAATCTATTTAGTCGAATAAAAAAAATGTTTTAGCAAACGAGTTGATTAAGGAAAAATTTTCGTGGCACTGAATGTACGAAACTTTTTTTTCATGCAAAAATGCGAATATATTATAGACAGATACATATATATATATATATATATATATATATATATATATGTATCTAAAAAAAGCATAATATATATTATATACCAAAGATTTTCTGCATTATGACTTTTATAACTTTAAAATTTACTCTTATATTCGGATTGTATAAATGAAAACTTTTACATCTTCTTTCAAAAAATTTTAATTTAAAAAATTTTAGTTACGTTTTATATATATATAACTTACATATACATAAGTTACATACATATGCGCTATGAACATATGCTAATAATATAATATGAAAGAATCACATATCTGAGCCACCCAATTCATCGTCTTCATTGGAATTGACGGATACAAATTCTATTTGATTGTTCTCATTAACAAAGAATCTTAATAAAGAACCGTTTCATATTCTGATGTTACATGTTGAATTCTGAGCAGGTGATATTGAAGTTATAATATTTTTAGCTTGTTTTCTTCCATCTCAATCTCGAGCATTTGATAATACTTTTCCTAAGAAACTTAAAATCTCCTTTTCCAATACAGATTTCTCTACAACATTTCTGATAAGTAGTATCACGTCTAATATAAAAAAGAAAGTCGATATAAAGAAATTATTATAAATTAAATGCAATATGATTTATAATATATGTAAAGGAAAAATATAAAAACAGTATCACTTTTCATGCAATTAAAAAAGGCTGTATAACACATAAGAAACTTATCATTAACTTTTTTGGGACTTGTAAGTTTCATTGCTATTTGAGCTGTTATACATTTTTTTAACATGTTCACTAATGATGAGTAATAACTTCATTTTTATCTAAACAGATTTTGAGCACGCAATTCTGGAAACAATTTAAGAGTATCATGTTAAAATATTTTTATTGAAATATGTATAATTCAAAACAAATAAATAATTTAAATTTTACTTACCACATCCACTCGTAACTTATTATCATTTTTCAATCTTTCATCAAATTTTATAAACTCTGCAAGATTGGTAATTAGCAAAGAAATATTATGGTTTGCCAAAAATGTATCAGTTTACAAACTGGAGTTTCCTTTATTTGCATCAACCTGTAAATTTTAGTTATTTGTTTTTTAATAAATTTCAAATCACTCTTAACACCTGCCATGTCTGTAGCTAGTATTTATAAAACTAGAAATTATGAATATGTATTTAAACTTTTTCATCAATTGCATAAAGAAACATTTTATTAATTCATTCGCATTTCTTATTTAAATGTGGTTGCATAATATGTAAAGACTGTATAGTATAACAGAAATGCATCAAGAGTCACGTAATTGTAATATTTGCTGATTGATTGAGGTGAAAATCGTATTCTACCCTTGTTTTACATCTAACGATAAAAATAGAATGACATAATAGCATTGACTGTTGTGTCATTCTATCTTTATCATTTATTAGATATAAAAGAAGGATAAAATACGATTTTCATTCCATCCAATCAGCAAATATTACAATTACGTCACATGACTCTTGACGTATCTGTTACACAAGGATTTATAAACTAAAGTCTTCTAAAATATATAATATTAAAATAAATGTTTAAATGATAAATAATTTACTTTAAAATGAAATCATATGAAATTTGTTTCGTTTTTTATTTACTTTATTTACTTGATTTACTTAGCAACAAAATTTCTTTATTTCAACAGGATGTAAATTATTGTTTCAGGTGAAGTTTTCTTTAACTGTGAGTTATTTTGGTTCTGCTCAACTTCAGACGTTGTCTCATTTTCTGAAATAACTTCTTAACAAAGTGAATAAAATCTTCCAAAAAAATTTATAATTTATAATTTTATATTGAAATATACCATAACTTTCTTCAGTACATTCTGCACATGTAGATGAATCGAGTAATTTTTGCTCTTGAATGTCATTAGAGGTGTGACGTAAAATCTGTTGATCGTTCTTCGTGCAGATATTCATATTAGCAGGGACTTTTATATCTTTTACTATCCTTTTTAACACTCTAAGAATTAATAAATTAATAAGTAAAAAATATGTATAAAAAATATTTGTCTTATAGTATTTTTAAAAATTTAAAAATTACCTTGATTCTTAGATGTCCCTTTTAATTCATTTTTCTTTACGAAATTATCAAACAATAACTTCTTTTTCTTCTTGTTCTTTAATTCAAATAGGTTTCACAGATTTCTTTCCTTTAAAATCTTTTTTTTCTTTTTGTCTTCAATTTTAGATTTTTCATACGTTGAGTCTCCAGACGTTGACGTCTCTAAATATTATGGAAGATGTGTAAGATAATGGAAAAATAAAAAGATTAAATGTTTAAAAGGAAGAATGTAAAGTGAAATAGTTGTAGTTTTCATTTCTGTCACAAAATTTTGCCCTGTTAAAATCCTTATTTCCTCCAACTTCTTTTTCCTTGCTCTATGTTTTTCTACGCGTTCATTCATTCTTTAAACAGTTTTAAAATCTGAGCATGTCTACGCAAATTGCATAAATTTTTACCAGGAAAAACTGCTTCAAAGAATCACTGAAGGAGAATCACTTAATAAAATTCTATCAAGTTTTTGTCCATTTCCTACTCAGCATTGGCACAATTAATGAGAATATAGTAATATTAGATAGTAACTGGATACGTGTCTAGGAAAACTGCATACATTTCTACCAATTTTCAATTCGTTGTAGATTTTTACATAAGTATTTTTCGTAAGTAATATTTTTTTCGTAAGTATATAATAAAGTTTTTTTTAAGATTTAAAGTATTTTATGATAGTAATGCGGTTGAAATTATTATATTATTCTATTATTTAAAACTTTTACTGCGATCTTATAATTTTACTTTAAAACTTAATATCATTCATTTTGCCGTTTGCTCAAAATCTTAGTCGTAAAATTAATAAAATTATATAAATTATATGGAATATATATAATACGATGGAATCGCAGCGGATATTTATAAATGACATCAAAAAATATTTTTAAAAGAAGATATATTCAATATAGAATCCTTATTTTTTAATTATGATAAAAATTTATATATATAATTTTAATTTACGTTCATCGAGAATATTAAACACTATAGACTTGTAGGATCAAAATTATTTCGATTGGATATTTTACCTCATCAATGATTTTTCTTTAATCCTTTTGTAATAATTCATTGTGAATGTCCATCGATTTCGATTTTTTTCTTAAAACGCAGAATTTCAGAAAGTTGAGAACAGCTTATCGATATGCAATAATATTTCATCTCGCGCAACACGTGTCGCGCGAATATATCAGGAATATAAATTGTAGGCAATGACGAAATCCATGGCCACACCTCTATTCTGTTCCGGATGTATTAATCCATTTATTTTATGGAACAAATACAATAAATCAGAGATTTACAATGAAAATAAAGGAAACAAGAGAAAATAAACGCAAAACATATATTATTACAAAAAAAATGACTTACAGTACTCCAATTTAATTTAAGATAATCTTGTATTATTATTTTCATTGAATTATTTACTGGATTACATTGTCATATGTATTGGGGCGAAAAAATAAATTTTTGCGGATTTTATAAGTATAACATAAAAATAAATTACAAATTTTTGTATGAAAGATTGATCATAAATTGGATCAAAATATTGGCTTACAATATGTATATAAAATACAAAAAAATTACTAATTTTTTATCTACAGTATTAAAAGTTTAGAATTTTTTGTTTTATAAGAGAAAATTTAATACGTATAAAAAATTTGCCCTTTTTTCTCACAGTATTTGCATTCTTAATAATGTATAGAAGCTTTATAATTAATAAGTGTTGATACTGAAATTTATTCATTTAACACGAATTATTACTTTATACATGGACTTTTAAAAAGAACATATAAATTGAACCTTATTACTACTTTTTTGCGATACTGATTAGTGTGAGAGACATGTTCTCTGTATCGTGAGAGACCGTCATTACGAAAAATATATATTTTAACAGTTCGATAACAGTTTGACGTTGAAGGAATTAATTAATGTAATTAAAAATGTAACGAGTGTAATTAAAAATGAAGCGAAAATAAAAACATACGTTCGTTTCAAAGTTTGTCTTAATTTATTTAAATATGTACATGTAATAAATAGCTGCGGAGCGAATTTTAAAAAACAAATAAAAAATAAAATAAAAGTCCCGAAAAATAAAAAATTAGATTGAATTACGCTGTATTATATTATATGCAAAAAATTAAATTAAAATTACATTATGTATATTATTTTTATTGCATAAAAAATACAATTTATAAACTATTAATTATCTTTGATTTAGTTATATTTTTAATTTTTCTATTTTCACTATTATTAATGATTTATTCTTAATTTTGTACATTTTTCTTAATTTTTTTTGTCTTCGATTCCAATTTTATTTTCCTTTAATTTTAATCAATATTATTTCTTATATATTTTTCTTACATATTTTTTCTTACATATATTTTTTTATATTTTTATTTATTATTTACATTGAATAATTTATCAAATTTATGTTCAATATATTTTTTTGTTATAATTACTAATGAAATAATATAATTTTTAGCTCGTAGCTCTTTTTTTACTATACTAATTTTATAATTTCTTACTTATATTAATCAATATTATCCTTATTTTCAATATTCTGGTTTCTCGTCTCTCTAACACTATCTTGTTTTAAATATGTCTGAATACGAATGAATAATCAAACTCAATGATACATAAATATTATACTATTAATTTAATTCTGTAATTTAATAAATTATGAAATGTTTAATTTCAAATGTTAAATGTGCGTTAAATGTATTTACAATGATTTATGCCTATAATTAGTATTTAATGATAATAACCTAAGAAGTAGAATATTATTTAGCTAATAAAGAATCGATGCTAAATTGAGCGTAAATTAATGATGAAAAGTAATCAATGCATATTTCTTGAAAATTGATTAAGTAATAAATAATATGGTGTCTCTATTATAAACATTTCTTAATTTCATGAAAAATTTTGCTATAATTATACTAGTAATATATATTTGCATTAATAACATTATGGAACAAAATTTGATTTTTTTTACAACATGAGTGTGAACAGCCATTTCTGACGTATTTTTGTCTGCTAAATACAAATCCGTTGACAAATTTGGTTAGCACGTCACAATTTTGGGAAAAACGGCGCCAAAGAGACAAGAAACGATTTTGAAGATTCTCATGATGTTGCAAAATTTTTTTCTAAATTTCATTAATGTTATGCGAAAATATCAACTTCTAGCTTTAAAATGCGTTTTGGTTCGCGTTTTTTATTTTCGAAATATTAATTTAAGATTAATTTTGTTCCTCCCCCATGCAATACATGTATCTACATGTATATCTCTCGAAAAGTATATCTCTCAAACTAAATTACATTTTAAAGCTATTAAAAGTAATTCATACTTTCATATGGCATTAATAAAATTTAGAAAAAATTTTAATACCGATTCAACAAACGAAAATCTTTAAAATTTGTTTTTACCACTTTGATATCATTTTTTCAAAATTGTAATGTGATAGACAATTTTGACAGATTCGTATTCAGCAGATAAAAATACGATAAAGTGACTATTTACATTCGTGTTACAAAATGGTGTTCCACAGTAATGAACCTTTTTTTAAATATTAATAAAGCTTAGTATAAAACACAAAAAATAGTATACGTGTCGAACACGAGCATATATTCTAAAAAGATACACAATTTGACAAGTATTGAGAAATATATCCAATATAAGATCGGATAGACAGCATGATATTGGATACGTGAAGATTAATACCAGATAAGATTAAGACCAGATACTTTCACGGAAACATTATTACGCCATGACCCTTGTTTCAGGAATAAGTAAAACTTTTTTTCGTCAGGAGACTCGATTTGGCGAAAGTTCGAAAGAAGAAGACAATAAGAGAACAAATGGAACAAAGCGTAAGGCAGATAGTATATAGGTCACCCATGAAAATAAGTAGAATTCATGATTTCCGACGGTGACATTAGCGCCTTTTTCACAGTGGCGCAAGGAACGCGACTTCGCGATATTAAAAAGAATATACAAATGGATAAGCTTTCGAGCTCTTCTTGAGATATTACGTTGCTCGAAGCTATGAATAATTTCTGCACCCGACGACAGTGCCAGGATCTGTTGCTTACACTTTGCGGAGCAGGTATTTTCATCACTGAAATTTTACAATAATTTTCCGAAAAGTGCACGAGTGCTGTATCATCTCTCATATTATTAATCGACGTATGTTCCCTATGAACTTACAGTTCTTTTTACAAGAGAGAGCGTAATCGATATTCGGAATAAACTCGGTCATCTGAAATTCATTTAGAGTTGCATTCTCGTTATGTTGTTTTTCCATTTATATAACAGCAAGACTTTTTTGATAGATCGCTTTGGTTGATCTCTTTTCAATTACGTCTACAAAATATAATTGGATTTAAATTTTGATTTATAATTTAATTTATTTCCTAAATTCTTTGGAGTGGAACTCTTCTAAAGAGCGAAACTTGAGCTAGTCTCAAAAAAGTGTACTGTGATTCAATTTTCAATTTTTAAAAGTGAGATTTTACTTTTCAGAGTGACAATTCACTCTAAAAGTTTTAGTAATATTATAATAATATATAATAATATTCCCTTGCTGTGTATTACATCATTGATCAATACTTATAGTAATTAGAGAAGTGTACAAATATGTACTATTACAATGTTTAATAATAATTTTTAAAAAATATTTGTGATAAGAATTTTTTATGTGAAACTGTGAAAATAAACTGTGTAATGAATATGTACAAAATAGGAAAAACCTAGTTTTATTTTTTTGAAACGAATTTCTATCGATTACAGGTGTACTGAAAATGTTATTTGAAACCGTGTATACATACATGGCTGCTTAAAGCCCATTTATTTCCGCGCGATTCAATTTCGTCACCTCTTCGAATTCTTCCTCCCATGAATACGACGGTCCCGCATTTCACAACGCTCATCGATTTCGCGGAGAAAAGATCGAGTTTATAAACTGTTCATGACCAATGAGTGCTCGACTTGTACACGAACTTCTGCATTTTGAAGTGGCGCACCGAGAATCGAGGTCTACTGTCTCGTCGATTGTCTCATCTAAATAGCGTTTACAATCGAAATCACAATGGTTCCCTGCTTGCAAAACGACCAAACTTTTGAATTGTCAAACTCTTTGACAAAGTAAACATAATAAAAACTATGGTTCTCATCTCACGCTGATCTTTTCAATTTAATGGCTTATAATTATGTAAATTTATTTATGTCAAAGATGTTTAAAGTATAATCTTTTAAACGTACTCCTTTATGTTTTATTAGCATTTATTATTATTCTCTGTTCTCTCTTCTTTCTTATTTATATTTTTTTATAAGTTGATAAAATGTTTGTAATTAATTTAATTAAGTATGTTTTAATTATTTAAAGAAAATATAAGTACATTATGAAGATTCAAAAATACTTAATACTTTTCATGATAATTATAATCTTTTTTTAAACATATGAAAAGAAAAATACAGTAGTTATATGAAGCATTTAGAATGCATGAATAAC